CACAACCAAGCTGTAGTTGTTGTTGTTGTTCATTTGACTCAGGAACTAAGACAAAAGGCAGCAGCTGAAGCTGATGATCACGTCTGAACATGCAGAAGGATCGATTGGAGGGAGACGTTATTGATTGACTGTGATCTGCTGACATCTGCAGAGGTTCTGGAATGACAGAGGACACAAAAAATAATCGTTTTCTTACCTGGCAACTTTGCCCTCATGAAAAAGACCAGCAGTCACCACAGTGGTCTGGCTGATTATGTATTGTGAAGCCTTCCTAAGCCCAGTCCGACATGTTGAAGGAGATGCTAAGTTCAATGTTGCTTTTCCCTGCTCAGATAGCAGAAATGATTCAATAAGCTCTAAATTATGATAGAAATTCAAGAAGGTTTTCTGACTTGCAAATGTCACATTTGTCAACATATTCTACACAAATTCAAAGTTTGCTTGGCCATTTCAAATAGGGATTTATTACATGAAATGGTTTTTGAATGCTGTCCTGTGACAGACTGGCAACCTCTCCAGGGATGTACCCCGCCTCTCGTCTGAAATGTTCTCTGGAGATGGGCACCAGCACTGGTCCTTACCCCATTAGGGAGAAGGGTGTACAGAAAATGGATGTGTGTTTTTAACCCCTTTACTGGCTGTACCAAAATTACCAAAAATGTCTGAAAAGGGGTACCCAAATTAAATCAGCTGCTGTTCTTGAACAATTTGGAGTACATGCAAAAGCTTGGTCTCTTTAAGAAGATGACAAGCGAAATGTTTTATCTTTTCATTCAAAAATGCGTCACTAAATTTATTTTTACCTCAGCTAAAACGTGCAGCACTTCCCCAACACACATTCTGGCTAAACTTCAAAGTCCAAGTGTGTGTGTGTGTGTGTGTGTGTGTGTGTGTGTGTGTGGGGATGGGGGTGTGCGTGTGTGTGTGTGTGTGTGTGTGTGTGTGTGTGTGTGTATTCCACTTTTCAAAAGTATTTTCCACCCACTTTCCTGTCTCATTAGGGAATTTAATTTTCAAACCCACCGGTGAAGCTCGCTGCCCGTCTGAATCCTCCTCGCTGGTTCCTCCCACCAGGGTAGCTTTACAACAAGGCAGGCATGTGTTGACAATTCATCTCGATATACCTCAAATCTTTCTTGTAAAGGTTCATGTAGTGAAACAATACAAACACTGTTTAGCAACAAATGTGACATTAAAGTCACAGCAAAATGATTGTTCTCGTTTTTTTTTTTTTACTTATCAACTTTCTTAGTGTGTGAAATTCAAGCAGCTACATGATTTGATGTGTTTGAATTTATTTATTGTTTGTAGATTTGCACTGTTGTCTTTTATTATAAAAAAGCAAGACCTAGAGAGAATAACTTGTGTAACACATTTGTATACGACAAGAAAAACAGGAATTATTAAACCAAAAACGGGGAGCAGAAACAATACACGAATCACACAATAACCTTTGTTTGCATCAGTTTTTGAAAGTTGATAGTTTTTGCCAGAATTTTTGTTTGAAGATTGCATCCAGTGTGTTTCAAAAATGAACCCCAATAAAAAAATGAAAAAATAGGACAAATCAACAATAACCCCTGTCAATAGGGGGGGATAGTAGCATATCAAAACACATAAATATAGTTGGAAAAGTTCATGACATAAATTCATTACATACGGAGTTATATATTTCTGTTAAATTTAATGATTATTACTTACAGTTAATGAAAATATGAGAACATAAGAATATTACAATCAACAAATGAAAAGTGGATTCTCACTGCAGATATATCATAGTCTGCATGTTTATTTGGAAGACTGGAGTCTCAATAGATGCCCAGTAGAGAGTAATTGGTGGTTAAAGAAGCTGGTTGTTGTGTCCGTGTCCACAAGCAGATTATAAAAGTTGAGTGGAAGAAAAAACTATGGCTCAAAAATGTGCACAAGCATTTTTTTTTGTCATAAAATGAAAGCGTGACCTGCAGCTGGAGTCCGTGCATCAAGACTCACCTCACACAGATGTAACCAGGACAAGAGCCACGACTGTTGCATTTCTTCTGGTAAGCCACTTCTGAACCAGACATCATCTACTAATGTTGACCTACATGACTTTAGCAGAACCACATCGCCCTACCTGAATGGATTGATGATGCAGTCCATGCAAAAGAAGCCCCAAAGTTCTGACTACATGTACTGTACAGTAGTTCTTTGGAGTAATTTCCAAATGATAGAAATTTCTGTGTTTTTTTCCTGTGTCTTGTAATTTTCTAAATGAAAACCAATTTGGGGTAATGTAATGCAATAAGCAATAATTAACAAAATGAACAAAGCCTAACAATTTAAATTCGTCACTCTCTGTGTAATAATCCATCCATTCATCCATTGTTTAGAACTGTGTATGTTTGTACACAGGGGATAGCGGGGCTTGGGTTTGGTGCCTTTTTGCGACAGATACAAGGTGAGACGCGAAGTGAACCCTGGACTGGTCTCCAGTCCACCTCAGTGTGTGGAATGAATCTATGTGAAACATAACATTAATTTTGTACTGGATTACTAAACTTCATTTTTAGATAATATTCCTATTTACTAAAATACTGTATTATATTTTTTATTTTCATTTTTTTTTTTGCATGAATTTTAATCGTATATAATAATCAGAATAAACTCTGCTCAGGCAGACATATGGGAGAGAAACTGGGGACGGGACCCAATAGCTGCATTTGATAATCTTTGTTAGTCCTCTGTCTCTTTTTGTGTTGTTTGTGTATTTGTATAAAGTACATGTATTTATGTGTGTGTCTCAGGTTTTATATTTGTGACTTTCCTTTCTCTTTGCGTGTAAGTGTTTGCACATTTCTTTGTTTCAGGTGCAAACATGAATTTGTGTCAGCGTTTTGGTTGTTTTGAACTCATGTGGATTTCCTCATTGTGCTTTTGTTGCGCAAAGAGATATTGAAGGAAACAGAATCACGCAGGAGGTGTCATTTGCTTTCTCCTTCTGAGCTCAGTGTCAACGTCTTCTCCCTCATCGCTTACCAACCGATCAATCAATCGGAACCAAGTGTCTTTGTGATGGTGGAGACAATCAATTTCAAATGGAAGAGAGACAAAAAAAAAGATGAATGGAGAAAGAAAAATAAGAGTAATGGAGAATGGAGATGAACCTGAGTAGACAGAGAAGATGGGAGGAGGACAGTTCTCAGATTATGTATATATTTCTATATATGTCTGTGAGTGTGTGCGGCATCACCTTTAACCTCTGCAGAGTGACCTTTACGCAGGGGTCCGGGGCAGTCAGGACCGTCCCTCAGCTACGAGGCAGATAGTGGTGGGGATCTGCCTTGTTAAGTGGACATCTAATCGAAGATGTTGATCAAATGCCTGGAAGCATATGCATACGCACTATACTACTTGGAGCCACAATGCAGAGCCTTTCTTCTGCTGCTTATCTTAGAGATGCAGAGAGTCTGCCGGTCGCGTTGCAATCAGCCTGAGATCAAACAGCCAAGTTATGACTTGAACAAATGGTGCAGCGAGTGAAAACCAATGCGGATGAAAATGATGTGTTTTGACCAAAACAAATAAAACGAAATAAGCAATTGACCATTTGGCTTTTCATTTTTCCTTTCACAAATTCTTACTGTGGCGCTTTGCTGCCACCTAGTGGTATAAGCTTAAAATGTTTTTCTTTGTTGGCATCTGATGTAGCTCGTCTGAATGTGCCTCCTAACACATTGAAGGAATTTTGAAATTATTTTTTCAACAAAAAGCGTTTTTTTTTGTTTTTTGTTTTTAAGATAATGTGATAACATTAGGTCATTTATAGGCAAAGTTTAAGGAATGTTTAGTTTTGCAATAATGTGACAAGAAATGGCTCCACTAGACTAAAACTAGGTTTGGACTTCAATTAAAAGAATAGATGTTAAGATGTGACATAAAACACTGAACAATTAACAGATTAGTCAAACAATATGCTTTGTTACTTCAGTGGAGTGTGATTTGATGTCGAAGCAGAGACTGGATACAGATTCTTAGATATTACTGGACTCATGGAGGCTTCAAAATATGGCAAGGCTTTTGTATATTAAACTGGTCCTGATTTGTTTTCTTCTTATTATGTCCTCTAAATGGTATTTGTAATATAAACGCATCCAAGTTCAATAAAAGATTTAGAAAAGAATCCCAGTTTAACGACGAAAACAAAGATTAGCATTTATTTTTCTATCTCAGTCATGGTTAAGTCCATACTTGACAAGGCTAACCTGAAAGCTTTATTTAGTTATTCATTCCTTGTTTGCTTGAATAATTGAGAAAATGAGTTTACAGACAGATAGACAGACACTCTGGTGTTGTATGGATTACTGTCCTGATGCATAACTTAAAGTGCGCTTAGGGATTTGAACCGATGGCTGGACATTGTCCTTCATGATGTTTTGGTAGTCGTTCAGGCCAAGCAGCTGCAGATTAGCACTGATGCATCGTACTGCATCCATCGTGTTCAGCTGCTTGTGCAATGTTATTTAGCTGATATGTTGTGATAGTTTTACATGAGACGCACACCTTCCAAAAGGTTGTATTTTTGTAATATCAGTCCCCAGAAAACTTCTCCAGAACTTGAAAGGATCATCAAGATCCAAGTTTCTGAAATATAAATGACGTGAAACAGAATTTGTGGACCGACTTTGATGAAGTAGGAGCTTCATCATCCTTCACAGAAACATTTAACGAGCTGAACAGAATAAAATAGAAAATGAGAAGATTGTAAAATTAAGTTCCTGTGCTGCATAATAGCATTAATTAAAATGGGTTATCTCAGTGACTTCAAAAGGAGTTTGGTCACTTAAGATGTTATCGACCTTTTTGACCTTTTTTGCTAATGACCTTTACTCACTTCTTCCAGTTTCCTATTCTTATATATTTATATGTATATATCAGGACTGAGTTAGCAAAAATAATTCAAGTCAGATTATTACTTGAATCAGATTTTTGGATTACAAAAAAAGAAACATGGGTTCCAGTTAGTCACATCATGCTTTTATGACGAAAGAGGAGTTAATTTACAAGACAAACAGTATATAAAACATACAGTGAAATAAAAAAGAAACCATATGTTCTTTATAGACATAGTACATTATTACCCTTCCCTTTGAGACCAAACAGCCATGGGACTGAACAAAACCTGGGTGATCCCTGGAGGAAAGAAGCAGCAGTTAAATCCTATGTTACTCTAGCTACACTATTTACAGTTCAACAGTCATTTTCCTCTGTCAGACATGGCAAGGAAGTCTACAGATTTGATGACATGATATGGCTAATAGAGCTAATATTTACATGGTCTGTTCCTGTCATCCAAGGATCAAATTATTCTGGCATAAAAAAGTGCATTTTAAAAATGTACAGTCAGATGGTGATGATGCTAAAGAGGATCAGAGTCTAAATTTGGTACTTGATGTATAACAGTCAGCTTAATTTGTCATTCATCTCTAGTTGTGACGGCTCACCATGCACTATTTAATCAGACAATTCAAACTAATTTCTAGAGTCCATTGATCCTTTCTCACATTAGTCATCTTACAACCACAAACTTTAATGGATTTTATTTGATTTATCACTTTTGGTGACTTATGTTGAAAAGAAGAAAAAGAAACACCTTCGATCTCTAGAAGCACAAAGCTGGTAGAGAAATACCTCAAAACCTTTGTAGCCTTGAACGTAGCAACAAATGGTGCTAAAAAAGACTGACTGAGGGGCAGAATGCAATTTTTTTCCACACTTTTCAGATTTGTATTTCTAAAAAACATTTCTATAATTTCAGTCAACTTAACCATAATGTGTTATTTTGTGTCATCCTATCATAGAAAACATAATGAAGTTTGTGGTCGTATTTAGGAAGAATGTGAAAAAGTTAAAAGGTACGAATGCGTTTTAAAGGCATATTAAATCCAGGCACTCATTCCTAGGTTTATGAGCTCGGAACAACTGTGTTTGACAAAAACACAAAAGCATTACGGCAATTAGAGAAAAAGAGAGAAAATAAACACATTCTTAAAGAGGCTGGCGCCATAAAGAGAAAAGGCCAAAGAGTCAAAAAACAAAGTGAGGGAATGAATTAAATGTGTTTTCAAGTATTTGCTCTCTTGTGCAATAGAAATCTGGTGTAATAGATTCATCCAAAATGTGGGGAAAATTGAAGAGTTGACTCAGATTTTTTATAAAACAAGCAGAAATCTGGCACTTTCTCGCTTTTAGAAGACAAAAATAAAACAAAAAAACTCTTCATCAAAGTGCAAACCTGGGAACAAGTGCCGGCCACATCTACATGAGCTCTCCACGCCTTGTGCAAACCCCACAGGATCTTTAAGAGAGTGACAATATTGAATAAAAATCAGTAAAAGTATGCCATGAATAATCTTATCCCCATACAGAATTGATCAGTCCCAGCCACCTGCCTGGAATATCAATCGCTCTATCTACAGCTTGAACATCAGAGCATATCATTTGTTTGTGACAAGATATGTGTAAAAGTACAATCATCCCAAGTAAACACTTGTTTCTCCTTCAAGACGCACCCTCCGTTTGAATATCCGTGAATGCATCATGACTCATCTCCCCTCGCTTCAGTTGGATTCAGCACGTTTGCTTTTGTTCACGAGCAGCAACAAATGGCACCTCTGGCTCTCGGTCCAGGTGCAGGTGTGAGTTTGGCACTACCAATCACTTTATACAAAAGGCATGCATAGATTCAGCCTGTTGAGACCACAAGCTGGAGCGTCTCTTTGCTCTCCAGGGGGGACCAATAAATTTGTTGACCGGAAAAAGAACAGAGATGTCAGATTGTTGGCCTTTCTGTTCTGAATGTAATTTACAGACCGATTTCCACCGGCTGACCTGCAGCTTTTAATCGAATTAAGCTCAATCCTCATGACTTTTGCTCCATTTTGCATTGTGTGGCAGAATGAATCCTACCACACACACCCACTGGTATTGCTAAAAATATCAGATGAATAAATGTAACAGTCCGTCTGCTTTCTTTGTTTCTAACCTATCTGCTTATTTGTGTCTTACAAAAAAATAAACGACAAAACAAAAATACTGGCCCATCAGCAAGGTTGTAGATGCTGCTGTTGCCCGTTTTGACCACTTGGTGGCAGTGTAACCTTATAAAACGCAGAGAATTCTTGCAGTCCTCTGGTCAAGGTTAAGATGAAGCAATTATCTGTCCAATGTGCTTTAGCAGTGATCTGCTGAAATATTCCTGCTCGCTGTGACAGTTTGCCTCCAGAAAATCGTGACAGCAGATATAATTTATGTCCAAATTATTATTCTACGACTAAAATATTTCATCTAGGGTTTCGGCGGTACAGTGTTCTTAGAGGAAATGAAACTAATAAGCCAAATAAACACCCAATCAGAAGAGCTCACTCCTCCGTCATCCCATTACTCCTCGTTTCAGCTCAGATAAATTCTGCTCCAGTCTAATCCAATCAACAAAAAAAAAGCAGCTGTGGGGCACAGAGAGAGATGGATTTATCCAGAGCCAAAGCAGAATCAGAAATGACAGAGGTGGTGAGAAATGCTGCAGAAATTACTGCTATAAAGGTTAGATTAAACATAATAATAGTAAGAGCACGGTTTAACATAATGAAAAGAAAGTCGTCTGTAATCTGGAGCTGCATGGAAAGTGTAACAAAGCAAAAATGGAATAATTATACCATTATTTGCAACAAATAATGGTATAATTATAGTGTCTGGGATTTTACACTGTTTGTGTTAATAAGGAGTTCCCAAAGGGAAATTGTCTTGTTGTGGTTTAGGTTAAGTTTCTGCAGCTGTAGAAGATTTGTGCAGTACCTTGTAAAAGTATTCATACGCTTTCAACATTTTCCAACCATTAACATCTACATAGTCATTCGGGCTTGATGTTATTGACCAAAACAAAACTGTAAAATGGAAGGAAAATGAAAATAAATAGTGGAAAATTGCGACTTATATTTGTTGAAAGTCAAATTCACTTTGATTCCCTTAAGTAAAACTAAATGGTTGCCTAATTGGCAAATGGTCCATCGGTGTGTCATTTAATTTCAGTGTGAAGACAACTATTCTTTGAAAGCCTCGTGAATTTGTTGGGGAAAATTGGTGAACAGGTCACGTTTTCAAGGTTTCAAAAAGACTTGAGATTATGCCAGAGGTTCACAGAAGTGTTTGGTGGGACAATATAAAAAAGTTCAAGGCGTTTGAATACTTTTGCAGGGAAATGCATGTAGGCAACATGTCACTGAGCTGTGGCCAGGATAAACCAAAGGAGACAGCACAGGATTCTCTCAACCTACTTTTAAAACAACTGCAGCAGCAGATTAATAAAGCTGCTTTCCAATAGAAAAACCCCACATGAAACACTGCCAGCTACCGTAAAGACTTTAGAGCAAGATATTAAGCAAATGTGCCTTTTTAGGGAGAACTGTTAAAATAATTGCATGCTACAAATTATGATCAACTAAAAATATTTTACATACAACTCAAATCTGTTCCAACCTCTGCAAGGACATTTCAAGTAAAAGCCACATCACAGATTTTTTTAAATCACGTGTAAAAATGGCTTCTCCAGTCTTCAAGGTTTAGATGAGGGCTGAACAGAGAAAATTTCTTCTTTTCATTCCTTTTTTTTTTTTTTTTTTAGAAATGAGCAGCTTAAATCTGCAAGGTGAAAACGTGTGAAAAGAAAAAAAAAAGAAAACTCAGTCTCCCTTCTTACATTTGTAATAGTATCAGATAACGAACGTATCATCTTGAGAACATACATACAGTCCAGTCCATTGGTTCTCATATCCAAAATAGTTCCCAGAACAGCTTGGTGCAGTCTGCTAAAGGTGAGGTTTGAAAGAAATGGTTGGGTGTGACATGGGAACTAGTTTTTTTTTTTTTTTTTTTTTCAGGGAACCTGGGTCACCCCTTTCATCTTAGTCGCTGATCCAATCACTGCTCTGTGTTTGGTGGCATCACGAGTAGCGACGAATCATTACATTACAACACCGACTCACCAACCACACAGGACACGCATCTACTACCACACAACCATACTCCGGCCTAATACTGTGAACAGGGACAACGGAGATCAGAAATGCTAAGAAGACGACAGAAAGAAAAGGGGCAGACGACCAGGGGAGGAAAGGAGTTAGAGGCAGGAGAAAGAAACGAAATGAAACAGTCATCTACACTTACAATTCTGCATGATGTTTACACAATAACACCATCAACAATCACTACAGACATTCTTACTGTCTTCTAAACCTAATTTCCACTGAGAAATACCAGGAAATGGAAACACCAGAGGGATGGTTTAGGGAGAAGTGACATCCATGGAGGCAACGTCCTGTTCTCAACACCACGGGAGTCGACATGGCTGCAATTAACAGTAGTGGTAGAAATCAGGCCAGCTTTGCCATCTAGTCTCATTTTGTCTCATGAATCTTTTAACAGCTGTTTAGTTATTCATCTTGACAAAGAATCTGTGGCTTCGTCATCCCTGACAAGGGACAAAAACGGAGTTTGCATAAATCATCTTAAAGGAACAAGAGAGTTCTCTTTCCTGCAGCAAATTATACCCAAACCATGAATTTGTTCTAATACAGAGGGCCTTTCTTTTGATCAGAGTTGCAACTTTTTAACAGGACGGCTTCATTAACACAGAAACATAAAAAACCTGACATTTTGCGCTCCCCGGCCTGGTAACAACCACTCCCTTGCACTAACTACACTTTGGTTCGTACAGATGGTCTGGATTCTGAGATGTTCAGAAACGAACGCTTCCTGGAGGTGTGGACTGTGTTGAGGTTTTAAATTTTACCCAATTGCTAATGTTTGCTCATGACGTAGGAGATGCGCCAATTCAAGGCTAACTAAATCGCCTGCATTGTAAAAAAACATCCTCCACTGCAAAGAGAGAGAAGTGCTCATCCGAACGAAGTGGCTGCTAGTGTTGATTAAAAAACTGATGTCATCATTCATGATTCTCTTTCTGTTTGCTGATTGGCCTGTTCTAAAATAGACCGGAGACAATCTGAATCAAGGGGAGAAAGCCCAGATTGTGCTGGACATGAGAATTGGTTTTTGAAGCTAGCACTTAGATTTTGATTCAAAACCCTTTCATGTATTTTTGTCACTGGAACACAATTTTCAACTACCACTGTATTTTGTCTGTGAACCACATTTAAAACCTTTTCTCAAAAAACATTCTGTCTACTACTTAGACAAATTATTAACAAGCTAATCCTAGCAATACTAATCAACTTGGTTGCATCTATTAATTACTTACTGATCAAATTTGATGGTTTTTTTTGCAAAGAAAGTCACAGAAGTAGCATGCAGATTTTTGAAGTCACTATTACATCTATTGAAAGTGGTAAAAGTAAGGCACCATAGAAGAGGTGTAAATTATCCACCCAAGAGACAAATGACCATTACTGCTAACTGCTGAAATGGAGTGAAGTTTAACACCTGTGGCAACCGGCACAGACATATGAGCTCATTACTTTCAGCGCCTTTAATTTTTATAGGTTCAAGTTGAAAATGTCTTAATTTTGTGACTAAGTTGAAGGGCCCCATTCATCCCCTTGAGTTCAAGTCTGATATAAAAGGGAAACGGACTGGAATAAACTGCTCATTTACATGTATAACATTTCTGTTTCATTTACCCAGTTGAAAATATTGAGAAATAGTTTGTTTTGGGCTTGTGATGTTAACAGCATTTAGTCTGTCAAACTAAAGGACATTTTCCTAGTTTTCTGACTGATTAGGTATGACAGCATTCTGAGATTTTAATTTTGGCATCTGCGGCTATAATCAAATCAGAACTCGCAAATCCCACTGGTTTTTAGATCTTCACCTAGAATGTGCTCAACTCAGGTGGTTTAAGTTCTGATGAACTTGGAATATAGCTTCAACGTTGATTGCATGAGACTGATACGTATTAATGTAGTTTGTTCAGACTGAAAGAAAACTCGGTGGGCACTGAGCTTTTCACCCGAACAAAACAATTTTGCCTGTTGAAATAATGAACAATATAATCTTGATGATCTACTTCCTGGGTGTTGGACTCCAGACCATCAGTACAGACATTCTGCAACTTTTGGATGTCTTCCTGGACCAATGCACCTGAACTAAATGGCTGAATTGATCCAGTCAAGTCCTACGACATTCTACTATTGGCATAATTATGTGACTTTTCGTCTAAGACTTGCAAATTACAGACCCTCAATGTCTTGAGTTTAACACCTTGCTCAGGTTATCAGAACTACAGTTTTTCTTTTTTTGCCATCAACAAAAACCATCAGTTTATATTAACTCAAGTTTCTGAGCAGTTTGTAGTTTGTTCGCAGGCTCCATTTAGTTTACTTTATGAGGTGTTGAGAACAGAATAACGTCTCATGGTGGATGACGTGCTTCAACACAGTGAACATTCAGAAGCTCACAGACAACAACTGAACAGAATAAAAATAAGGGACAAACAAATATGCAACGTAACACTTAAAAAAAAAAACAATAAAAACATAACAAAACCTTTTTGTTATTTTTTTGTCAGTAAGACCACAGTACTACTCTCCACTATACGATGCACATGGTGTGGGTAGGGTGAACACAACTTCATTTACATTTTAATCCTCAGTCTCCAGCCAGGGACCCCTCCCAAAGGAGGACCCAGTGGGAGTGTGTGGGGGTGGGGTTTGAGGGGGGGATGCACTGGGCTAGGGGGGCAGAGACATTCATGCACCGGTCGTTTCAGAGACAGAAAGAGAAGTCAGCGTCACAATTATGGACTCATGTTGTGCTTGTGTGTGCCATGTTGGGTTTGTTTGCTTTTGTGCAACTATGACTGTTGTTCCTTTGTGTTTGTTTTGTGTTATTCTGTGGAACGTACAACAAACCCAGTGACACCGGATAATCTTGTGAATACCAGGACAGCTTGTAAAATGGCAGTAGTGATAATTGTATGACTAAATTATGCACACTCTCTATAAAAATTCAACCTACATAAATTATGGCTTTGTTTCTTCAGTCACAAATTTCCAGTATTGGCTTTATGGCTATACGTATTGCTGGAATGTTACAATTAGCAAATAAATGTGTTCAATGAACTCTTTTTCTGTTGGTTTGTTACTTCGCTCTTCCTGAGAAAAGGTGCAATATGTTATCTACCGTGTGTCATCCCCAATTTGGAGAAGTGTTTGTCTTGTGAAACTACGTGTCCTGTCTCTGCCTCTGAGTGTGACCCAACTCTCCAGGCTGCTCCCCCCGGGCAGCACCGGGAAGGTTTGGTGGCTACCAATGCAGCAGAGACCAGGGTTCAGGGGTTTGTGTAGGGGAGCGAAACACAGGTCTAAAAGGCTTATGTATTCTCGCTCGTACTACCCAGTATACCCTCTGTTCCTGTCAACCTGGACCATTTGCTCTCTTGCATTGGTTCATTTGGTTCCTGCGGTGGCCTGTGTTTGGTGTTCATAATTTAATTGTCTGAGTCACAGGCAACCGCAGCACCGCTTGACCGGTACACTCGTCCCAAACTCACACAGCTCATGTTTGGGCAGAATCTCACAAAGAAGTAAAGATCAAATGAGCGCTTAAATCGATGGCCTCCGTGACATCCTTTACCAATTACTAACCTTTTCTTTTTATTTGTTGAAATAATCAGGAAAGTGCTGTTCATGTTGCAAATCTAACTAATCATTGATTTCTATTTCACACCATTATTGGCAAGCATAACTGATTAGTTAAATTCTACTGCTATTACGTACAGCAGCATTCAACACCACAATCTAAAGAAAAGCATTGCAAAGTGGAGACATCAAAATAATTAAAATTTCAAGCATAGGCCAAATTAAATCACAACTCTAGTTTTGAGGTGGGCATCCAATTTGGAGCAGAGCTATAGAGACAAGCTAATATTGTGCTCTCAAACTTCTTTGTGAGTTAGTGGCTGTGTGTGTTTGCGTGTGTCAAACACGTCTTTGGGACGTGCTCATGCCTCCCCCGAGGGACCCCTGGCTGCGTTGTTTCATATCATTTTCATGTTAAACTTCCTGGTCCCTCCTGTAGAGCTCCCTGTAGTGGGTTCAGATTTCCGGAACGAGTACTCCACTGTGAAGTTGTTCCTGCGTTGGCCGCGTCCACGGCTCCACACAAATAACAACAGGAAGCAGAAGAGAACAACTCCGAGAAATGTGATGCAACCCATGGCTGTTGAGACCAAAATGGTGGTCAGGTCCAAGGTGAACTTGAGGAAAACTCGTGTGCTGTTTAGATTTGTGTCGTTGAAGTACTCCCCGCTGTACAGAGAGCGGTTCAGAAAGAAGGCGGAGGCAGAGTCTAGTGGCTGGCCTCTTACTGTGAGAGTGGCAAAGTAGGTATCATTGCCTCCAGCGTTTGTGGCAATGCAGATGTACGTCCCACTGTCAGTGAGTTGAGCGTAGCGGATCTCCAGAGTACCACTGGGGAGAACAGTGATGCGACCCGAATTCTTTGCTGTAATTCGTCTACGCTGCGGTGAGATCCAGATGATGGCAGGTGTAGGATCTCCGTCAGCTCGACATACAAAGCTCACTGGCTGACCTTCCCGAGCAACCACCTAGGAGGGGTGATAGGGCACACGATTGACAATACAAAGAAAATTCAACATATGCAGGATGAAACATAAACATCTCACAAACATTAAAGAATATTTTAGCTTCTTCAAAAGATTACCTGTTGCATCTTACGGTTGCGGATCTTAGGTTTCTGGCATGTAAAGTGATCGAAGAGGGCAGAGTCAGAGAAGGCGCTGAGGCTGACTCCTTGCACCTCCACCGGGCCTGCACACACTGGCACTCTGCCGTCAAAGTTGAGGGTCTTGCGTCTTTGCAGGATCCACAACAGACGGCAGTCACACAACAAGGGATTGCCGTCCACTCTGAGGGTCTCCAGACTGTTAACAGAGTGGAAGGACCCCTCTTCCAGAGTCTGCAGGTCGTTGGAGGAGAAGTTGAGTACTCGAATCTGTCTGAGACCTCCAAGGGCATGAGGCTCCACTGTCAGCAACCCTGTGCTTACCATGATGAGCTCCTTTAGCCTCAGCAAGTCCTTGAAGGCCCAAGGCTCTAGTGTGGTGATGGGATTGTAGGACAAGTTGAGATGGGTGAGGTGCACCAGGTTCTTGAATGAATTAGAAGGGACAGTGGTGATGTTGGTGTTGGTGATGAAGAGCCAGTGAAGATCAAGGCCCTGGAAACTAAGTGGAGAGATATACTCAAGGTATGGCCAGTGATCGATATCCAGACCCCGCAAATTAGACAACTTGCGAAAGTTTTGATCCTCCAGGGCAGTGATGCCAAGGTGACGAAGGCGAAGAGTGACCAGGCTGTGGAGGTATGACAGCGTCTGGCCAGAGATGGATGTGAGGTTACAACGCTCAATTGTGAGATCTTCTAGTCCCAGAAGTCCAGAGAATGCCTGTGGTGAGAAACATGGGATTGGAGAATAATCATTACAAAACATACACAAAGGCAAGAATGTTTGTTTTGTGCAAAAAGAAAAAAAAACTGAAAGGAGGCACTCAAGCAAATTTGTTAGCATTTCTGTTGCACTGTCAGGAAAGCTTACCTTGTGGGAAATATAGACCAGATCATTGTCTCCGACCTCCAGCTGTTTAAGATTCCTCATATCTTGGAAAGTGTAGTCCAATAAAATCACCATCTTATTCTCACTTAGATCCAGGCTGGTAAGATTGCCTAGCTTGGCAAATGCCCCCATAGGTACTAACTTCAGCTGATTCCCCCTCAACTTTAGGACTTTAAGATTCTGAAGAGCGGCAAAGGCATTTGGCTCTAATGTGGCGATGAGGTTTTCACTAAGATCCACTTCCTCCAGCCGGGGGTACGGTGCCAGATCACCTGACTGTACCCAACGGAGCCGGTTCTTGCTGAGGTCCAAGACCCGTGTCTCGGTTGGAATGCCTTCTGGGATGTTTGTGAGCCGCCGTCGCTGACATGACACAGACCTCAGCTGAGCTGAACACTCGCATCGTGGAGGACAGGCCTTACTGCTCTCTGGCAAAGTCAAAGCTATGACAGAGACCAGCGAGGAAGCCAGAACCCATTTCCACACCCTCGGCCATGGCACTAAGGCACGACCACCAGGACCAGGAGAGTCAGTCATGGCGCTGGTCCTCTGACTCCTCGCCTGATACAGGCAGGGTCAGTGCACCAGACACCTGCAATACAGAAGAGAGACAGAAAAGTAGGAAAAATGTATGAGAAGAAATCCATCAAGGTTAATTGTAAAAGAAAGACAACGTAAAATAGTGCCATAAAATAGTCCTTCAGCATTTGGCATGTTGTCACGTTACAAACACAAACATAAATGTTTTTTATTGCAACATTCTGGGAGATAGAGCACAAAGTAGTGCCTAATTGTAAAGTGAAAGAAAAAGATACATATTTTTTCCCATTTTGTTCATCTTAAATTGTGAATACTGTAAACAAAAACAGAAAACATATCCACACAGGATGTTAATAATCTTCGGCAAAGCAAGTAGATCTATGAGCCACATAATCACCCAGCATTACACTACATCCAGTGAGATCCCATCAGAGATAGATGTTTAAAGATGTTTAAAATATTTTTTTTTCACTAATTTATCGGAGGATCCTGCTTGGAGACTGGGACGCTGAGAGCCATGTGAGAGGGAGATTGTTGCTCCAGCTGAAGTCGTGTGTCTTGCATCTGCTCTGTCTTCCTTGCAGCACTGAGACCGTCTGCTCCATTTCTGACAAACACAATGCATTTATTATCACCCCACATATGCACATGATGAGATTCTCAACAGGCAAGTTGCGCCTTCAAGTCCTGCACGCCAGTGCTTTGAAATGAGGGGAGAAAGACATCAGTGTAAAATCGTATAAAGTGTTTGATAAGGCTGATGGATGGTTGCGTAGGTTTGGCAGTTTGCTGGCTAAGAATTAAATCATTTTAGTCCTCCCAGCACAAAGATAAGATGAATCACTTGTCCTTTAACACTTTTAGGCAACCGTTAATTACTCCCACTTACTGTTTTCAACATGGAAAATGTCAAAGAGCACCTGGCATCGGATCTTCAACATATCTCAGTTAGGCGTGCTGATTCCAAAGCATAAGTACAGCGCGAAGGAGAAAAACTTGTTTCCTTCCAAACACAAACGGTCCTCCTGCAGGGCTACACATTAAACTCTCAACGATTAGCTTGTTCATTTATTTTTCAGAGAGGAAATGAGAAGGAATATTTCATCATAACGAAAGAAGATCATGTGTAAAATGCTCTCTGATGCTGGCTTTTGAGGGAGAAAGAGCCAAGCAATGAATAATACAGAGGTTAGTTTGTGCTGAATGGGCAGCGTCCAAGGAATAAGCCAGGCAGTTGAAAGAAGCAAAAGTTGCTAGCTTCCCCAGACGCTGCAGGCTTTACTTTGAGTTCCTTCTTCCCCCATATTAGCTACAAAAAAAAGAGAAAAGCTCATTGAATGCCTAATTATATCAAACGGTTTCATAGTGGTGGTATTAATGGCTTCAATGAAGATGAAACAAGACTTAAACCAAATTTACGCAATGCCATATAAATTGTGTGTACATGTGCACATTTCTCTCATATTTTTCACACTTGCTCAAAGATTTGGTCTCTCTGAGACGGGATACGTCCCTCTGTTTTTGTTGTTTGTTTTTTTAGATGTGCCTTTTCACATCCTGGAGAATCTGATAGAAATCTGGCACAAGCTTTTCTTTCATTCGGAGACAAAACTCAGACACAGCGAGTCCTCTGCGCAGACTGTTGCACAGACTGACCCACTTCTCATCCGCAACTCAGACTTGTGCTGTCAGTCGGCTGCAACTCACCATGACCACAACAACTGAGCAGCAAACCTCATTGTCTCAGTGGGACGGGGCTCAGGAGACAAACGGACAGATCTGAAAAACTAACAGCTGTACAAAAAGAAAAGAAAAAAGAGAAACTAAAAAGAATTAGGGCAAGTGCTCCACAAAGAGGAGCGTTCACTGGTGACTGGCGTTAAGATATCAATGCTTAATCAAGTTATGACTTTGAAATCACAGATGTTTTTTGTTCTACTGTTTCCCCAGTTTAAAGTCCTTTAAATGAGTCAGTCAGCTTGTTATATAGTCAGTTATAGTAGAAAGGTGAAGATGTATAACACACTTGTTTGTGTTCAGATCAAAATGACAATTAACGCTTCAGTAACATTAATATGACTGTAATAAGTAATATGTACCATTATTTTAGCAACTGTTTGACTTTTTTGTGTAATCTCTTTAGACATTTGATGTAAAGTGGCTGAATATGAATAAACTGAATTTTATTTAATCTCTAAGAATAATTATTGCATTTCTATTTCAAATAAAATCATGTTAAACATCTAAACACTGTTCAGTTTAATTCATTGAAGTTATTTTTTGTACATATATAGGATCAATCCACAACAACTGTCATGTAAAGGTAAGTATGAATCCAACGTACTTCCATTTCATGGGTTCAAATTAAGATGCAAACTGTATATATGTATACAGCTTTTATACATACTGAATACGGGAATAGTTATTTCCATGTTTATATATTTCATTATTTTTAGTTTTTAGAATTGTAAATGTTCTTCTTGTGCTATCACAGTTTTTTTCTCAAATGTTTTAACGTTAAGGTATTATTGTCATAATGAAATAACAGGTCTTTTTCAGTAACACAGGAGGTGTTGCTTCGGTGTGCGTTTTGCTGAAGGGGATGGAGTTGCCAGTTTGCAAAGAAAGTATATTTTTAATGTTGCTAAATATTACTAACAGTCTGACTATAAATCAGGGTGGATGTTTCCTATGTTTCAGTTTTCGGTTTTGTTAGTGGTTGTTAGATTTTGTGTTCATCTCTTGTGTTTGTCTGGGTTTCATTATCTCCAACACTGAGCGCTTCGTTCTGCTAAAGGTTTCCATTTAATGTTGTGGCTCAGAATCATTTTGTTTCTGACTTTCACTTGACTCACATTGATCAGTGAGTGAAGCTGCCACGCATTTATCATTATCCACTGCTTGTTCAGATTTTGTTGTTGTTGTTGTTATTTTACCATGGAGTTCTTTGAGCTGCATTTCTAGTTTGTTTCTGTTTGTCCTAATGCAACAAGAGTACTGCAATGATATCCTGCTTGCCAGCTATCTTCTTGAATTTGCATCTCTTTCTACCTATCCACTTTAATGCCTTCATCATTTTCTTTTATTTGTTGTGGGGCTGAGTAGGCTCGTGACTCAAATGGTGGCTAAGCAAGTATCTTGAAATATTTGCATGTAATATTAAATGTACTTACTCTCACTGGCTTGGAAGAAATTCAGTAATTTAAATGATTCATTCAACTCTTTCGACAGGAGCAGGTAGAGACTATTTCAGAAGTCAAAGGGGGAAAATGGAATATATTCACATGTCAATCAAAGATCTCAAAGATTTAATTTCACCTTTGTGGTCAACTTACAAAATCTTTGTTATCAATCAGCTGAATAGAGTGCGTTTGTGGAATTGATGTGCCTCATTTTTGAAAATAAAGATGTGGAAAAATGGTTTGCATTTTTCCATTGGTGTCTGTTCAATGCAGTTGGCAAAAATACTTGAGTCATTACATGTTTTTATCCCCATTTATTTCTTTTTCTGGCTTCAAGCGTCAGTTCCAAAGGTTAATGACTGATAGAAAAGACATATTGTTCTCAAAAACAGAGAAAGTCTAAAGAAAGTTTTGCCGCAAAGTAAACCATTAGGGAAAATAAATAGTGGTGGTGTCAACGTCAGCTGCAACCTGAATATATTTGTGCATTTATTTTAATGTTCCACATGTAAATATGGGTTTTAAATGGTGTGTCATTACCATGGCTCATTTTTGTGTTTATTTCCCCCTTTTTCTCAATTGCTACAATTGTAATTTGTCATCCATCATGCATTGAAAAAAACAACCAAACAGAACCATCCAGAGTGGGTGCTAGAAGAAAAAAAAATCAATAGCACAGACTGTTGGCATAAAATATGACAAATATTGCTTTAATGTGTGAATCATTCACAACCTTGCATGAAGACCTCTCAAACAGCTTAATCAACAAATTAACATGCTGTGACAGCTCTGGTTTAAGGTTACCAGGAGCATATTCTCTGTTGTTTTGCAAATTTTCAGCCTGCAAAATTTTTTGCTACAAGCCTGGTACAAACACTTCCTGGCTTGTGAAGCATCACTGCAGTATTTAAGCATTCTGAGTACAGTTTCACTGACCCGTTTAATGCTAGAAACTAAATCCTTCTTTCAAAACTGCAGCTAAAGATGGCCCTGTGACATGCAAAGCATTACATTGTGATGGGATAATCAATTTTGCACACTTTGCTTTTCAGGGACTTTAATCTAACAACCAATCTGAGTTTAAAAGGTCTGTGAGTGTGTGGGTGTGTGTGTGTGCGCGTGTGTGTGTGTGCGCATCCACCCTCTCTGTTCTTTGGCCATTTGATAGATGCAACCTGTCTTCACACTCCACCCTCCCTGACAGTCATCCTACGGGTCAACAGCAGAGCCACGGCACGAATCAGTGAGCTGACATTGTCAAGGCAGACAACGTCCTCAGTGCTTGACTCAAGAACAGGAAGTGATCCTGAACCTCCCTTTTTGCTTCCACACACGCGTACACAAACTACTCCAAACACACAGAGCTGGGGGCGTCTGTGCATCATCTACTGAACAGACACATAAAAACGATACACATTTACTCTTGTTCGCCAGACAAATAGTGACGTTTTTCCTCCTATTTATCACACTACACAGATTCCTGGTTTCTTTAAGAGTATAACCTGTAATATTTTCATCTTCTGTTCTCATTCCTTACCTTCCTTTCAAGTAACTATTTTGCAGGATTCTGGAAAATATCACTTCAATTAGGTTTTAAACAACCTTCTTACTGATTGGTCTCAGCTTAGAGTATTAAATGATCTTTTGTTGACTGACTGCAGAATTGACTGTCACTGTTTTATCTTCTGTCAGCTTTTTATACCCAAAAGTATAAAAAAATGTTCAGCATATTTCATAAAATCCGTCAGAGCTCTGTTTTAAGAACAATACTCTTCCTGCTTCATGTTCGTCAACTGGCACTGACTGAAAATAAATTTCATTAAAAAAAAAAAAAAAATCTTCATGTGAAAGATAACCAGCTAGAATGATA